TGATATTTTCTCCGCTCGCTGCCGCGACAAAGACGCCTTTTTTCGATTCAATTCACGCTCCGCGCGCAAAAGTGCAGTGCCCGTTTAAATAAATAGCCCGTTTAAATATATTTCTTTAGCATCGAACACATTTGTCAACTTGGAAGTTCTGATTTCAGGCTTTCTCCGAGGATTTCACTCCGTCGAGTCGACATCGTGAGGACAGACGCGCATCCATGGATCCGAGTCTGCATCGCACGCTCGAGGGAAAGAGAAGTCGCGCAAAAAGCGGGCTGGCTCGTCATTCCGGTAAGAATGATCGTTATCGGCCACGATTAATCTATTAGAAATTGTCGCGTTCATCGCGGCGTGTCCGACCAGAACACGTCCAGCACGAAAGACGACGCGTTACTCCTGTCGCTTCTTTTTCAACGCTCTCCGCGCAACGACGATCCGCGCACCGCACGTGCACACACACACACACACACACACACACACGTATACACACGTTTCACGGCACCGCGATAAATTACCATGAAGTCGGTAATTATTTCGGCGTATGCGGCCAACGGAGACTACGCTCGGCTCATTGCGCGCTAACGCGCCGAGCGTCGCGACGGAATTTATGGGCCTATTAAAAATCCCCGCCTAAATCCGTCCTTCGGGAACGCGCTTACGGACATTTCTGTAAGCAAATAAGCGGCCGATGATGCGCAATAAAGATATAATATTGAATTCGTGCTTCGGCCGATGTTAATACACTGCTTCGGCCGATCAGCGCCGCGCGCGCGAGCATCGCGATAACCGATAAGCGCGACTCGATCGAATGTTGTTTTGCGACAGAGTGCTGGCGTACGGGGAAAGGAGGAGGAGGAGCAGGGGGGAGTAATTAATTGAGCATACGATCGGGTTGCTTCGCACTGTTGCTTCGCCCGTCGCCCGTATATGGGGATGCCGATAAATGCGGGGAATGCGGACAATCGCATTGGGAACTCCTTCACGCTCGTCGACTTAATCCTTCTGCGGACAATTCGACTCTTCTTCTCGCCGGTGCAGCGCCATCGTAGCCGCGATTTTCTGTTTCACGCAAGTATCTGCATCCATCTGTCGAGTCCTCTTGTTTTTCGTTGCTCGGCGGGACGGGTACAGAGAGAGAGAGAGAGAGGAGAGACAGGAGAGAGAGAGGAGAGAGAGAGAGAGAGAGAGAGAGAGAGAGAACGCTGCTTGCAATTGACGTTATTCGCAAGGGCGGAATGCCAGATAAAATCAACGCTAAGCTTCGTCCAGTCGAACGTTACTTCCAGCCGATTGACTTAACGGTCGTCGCGAATTAGCGCTGTGTCGCGCGATACAAATCCGCAGCAGCACGTCGACTGAGTCGCATAATTATTTACCTGTTTCCGAGACCGCGCGGTCTCTTCCATCATTTTGCCATTGAGCCTCGCTCGAGGCAAGAAAAAACGAAAGACCCAGCTAGTTGCGGGAAGAATCACCCGTCTGTTTTCAAGCGCCGCTCTTTCCGTCGTTATCACCGGCTTGCCGGCTCGCGCGGTTCTCCGCGGGAATGTCCACGAGGGCGAATTCGGCGCAGACTCTGGCATCATTAAGAAGCAGAGCCGCGGTGTGTGTGTGTGTGTGTGTGTGTGTGTGTTAGCCGAGAACGCGGCTACGGCTCGTGGCGGCGTGCTCATTCGCAAAAACGAGCATGCTTATCGCAACGACGGCAGGAGGGGGTACACTTTCATGGGTTCGGCGCCGTGGTTATTCGCGCGTGCACGAAAACAGTCGATGGCCACGGCGCGATAATGGAATTTAATAACGCGATATGCCCCTTTCCTCTCTTACCCCGGGCCGCTTCGTCGCCGCGTGTCGCCTCTTCTATCTCCCTCCACTCCCCCCCCCCTCTCTCTCTTTCTCTCTCAAACCAGGAGTCGTCGTCTCCTGGTTTCTCCAGGTCGCGACGGTGGCGAGCGTCGAGCGAGTACACGGTGGCATGCCGGGCCCAAGCGCGCTCACTGGCTCGGCTCGTCGGTTAATTAGCCATTAAATATCAAGCAGCCGGCACGAGACTGCACGCAGATGGTATTTCGGATCAGTTAGAGCAGTTAGCAATGGGCAATTACGGATAATAAACAGACTGCGCGACTGCGGCAGCGCGAGCGGCGCGCGTGGCCGCGTGTTGCGCGAGAGTGAACGGCTCGGAAAGCCGAGCGACGTTTGCGCGATGCAGAAGCGCATGAAGATCGGACACCGTGAAATATAAGGATATCCGGTGCCGGGAGCTTCGGGTCTCCTTTGCTGACGGTTCAGCGAACCCCTAACGCTAATCGTGACTACCTTCTGTGGCGCGAAGCGGATTTTTCGTCACGCGGATACGCGGATACGCGGGAGTGGAAGAGCTAAAAATTGTGCGATCGAGTAATTAGAATTTACAATTGTGAGAGCCGAGTTTGTAAACGCATGAGGCAACGAAGAGGAAAGTTGCACGAGTGTGTCATACTTACCGAATATCGATACACAACGGAAGCGAATGATCGTCTCGTCGCGTACGAGAGTGCAGCGAAATGGAAAAGTAAGATCTGTCGTTCGCGCGTTCTTCCTACCGTGCCGAGGAGCAGAAAATAAGTCAAAGAGGCTCTCCACGATTGAGGATTTTCAGTTTGAACGATGCGCTTGAAATTACATTAGAGCGATTTGAAGGGAGAAGAAACGGAAGAGGAACGGGAGGGAAAAAAGGGCTCAAGCGAGCGCGAGATATTATTGCTTCGGTGGTCGATGGTTTCCCGAGTTACGTACCGAGATACGTACCGAGAGCGGTAGTAAATCGTGCTCGAATCGTAACGAGAACGAGTCCGCGTGGCTAACTTTTGCCGGCAGTAATGCTCGTGCCCGCGAACGCCAGGCACACGTCAGTGGACTTTTATTCTAAGATATACGAGCGCCGACTCAATCCGAGTACGAGTCGCTTTAATTCTGCGGGATCAACGATAAATGTCGTTTCCCACGGCAGAGGGCGAGGTCGGGATGATGATATCATGAAACGAGGCGGTCAGCGGGACGATAGCCGACCGCAAAACGGCTTGATGTGTCGAAATCGCGGCCGGTGTGAGCCGCGCTCGTGTCGCTCGTTCGCGGCGACACGCCATATTTCTCCGTCGAGGGTACGCTCGCGCGTTCGTTTCGAGAGATAGAGCGAGAGAGCGAGAGAGAGAGAGAGAGAGAGAGAAACATTAATTAAGCAGCACGACCAACATATCGGAGCAGCTGGGTAAACTGTCAGTATTAATATTTCATTATCCGCACGCGCGTTATCCGTCTAAATGGTGAAACGCGAAAATCTGCCCGATTCGAGTTTTCCCGGGTCCATAGAATTCAACGAAAACGTTGCTGCTTGTCGGATACGCGCGCTCGTCGACGCGCCGTAACGAGCAGTGAACGATCGATCGCGCCGCTGTTAGTGTTGTTCTCTTTCTCTCTTTCCTGCATTCGAGCAAACGAGAGACGGTTCTCTCGTACCGTTTGCATTTTAATACCGGAGTTATTTTAGCGCCGAATAAAGTAGTTTTATTATTTTTCGGAGGACGGGGGCGGAAATTTCAAATATATAAATTCGCAAGGACGGTTCGTTCAATTAGATCGAGATGCAACATGCAAAATCAACTTTCCAGATAGACTTTCAGATTACTTTATCTATCCGATCGATATCCTTCGAGCGCGCACAGTGGGATGTTTGTACCAAAAAGTTTGGCCAAAATTATCTTTTGACGAATTTCGGTTTAGAGCGTGCTACCAATTATATATATGATGATTAAACAGATTTCGTATAAGTTTTCATGCACAACAACGTGCAAATATATATATGTAAAAGTATTTTAATAATTAAAAAAGCATAATATTGCGCATCAATAAGTATTCAATTAGACAAACTCCAAACTTCTTCGTCTAACGAGTGTATTTCATCCTCAGAATCGAACGTCATTTTCATCTATTGAAATATCTCCTCTTCTTGGTGTGGAGTCAGTGAAAAGAAGCATATCCGATGTTTCCTTTAAAAATGGTTCAGACTTCTTTCTTGATACGGATCTTATATTTGTTAGTAACGGGTCTAGAACTGAGTAGGAGTCTGTTGATTATGCTCATATCGCAAAGAAACAAAGAGAAACTTCATGTCTAAATTCGTCCTTTGGACGGAACCTAATGTATGTTTAGGGAAACAAAGGTAATTACTAAAACTACATCCGCGGTTCTCCGCGGCTAATTCTTTCTGATATTTTATCCTGAGAGATTACTCTTTCATTTCATCCAAGAAACATAACAGGGATACACCCTGAAGTATAATTAAATCTTTCGAGTTTGACATCGAGGAGGCGAAAGGATACATTACTGAATGCTTTGTTCAAAATCGTATATCTGCGTGAATAACAATTCAATTGTAATAAATCTATAGTCTAAAACGTTTCTTCATACCTTTCTCGAAACAATCCATAACGAACAATTTCGCGCTGCCACTTCTAAGAAGCTTATTATTATAATATTATAAGGCGCTGGGAATTGACGCGTGCAATATAGAATAATGTCCAAATCCCGACTAACCAAACTAACGACTAACGCTTCTTGTTATCGCGACCGAACAAAAGCATAGCGGCCCATTATTCCACAGACATTCAATTGTCTAAGACAGTCATTCATGTTGAGCAGGAATGATTTTAAGAACATTGACTATTGGCCAGCTTTTCAGGCCAAACATTCCACTGGTGGAGCGGTCGGATGGCGACCGTTTACGTTCGATCGAGGTGTTGCTCGCGCCGCGTCGCGACTCTGCTCAGGTTCTAATGATCCGTCGTTGAGACATCGACGATGTCTCTTCTTCGCGCACACCTCGCTCTTGCTCGCACATCGGTGAGCAGTTTCTCCGATTTCGTCGATTTACGCAACGTTCAAAGTTCGACTTGGCGCTCGAGCGAGTCGGCGCGATGCGCGAGGCGTGTGCTTAAAAACGAGAAGCGTGCGTTTCCTCTTACCTTTGGTAGGCTGCCTGAGGCCCAGCCGGCGTCACGGCGGTCGTGTTTTGCGTGGCGAGTGCGAGCTTCTGCTGTCGATGTTGGAGCATCTGTCTGCTGAAGACCCCATATCCGAAGCCATAGATTTCGTCCTCCTCCTTGTCGCTGAGGCAGCTCGAGGGCTGCGCAAAAATGGAGAGCGTTCGCTCTTTTTCCTCTGCCTTATACTGAACGGCGGGTTTTGCTTGCGAAGCAGCACGGGCTACCACCACTTACGTCGCAAGTGGGTGGAGCTTCGGGGGTCGTATTAAGAACTCGTTACACGGAGACGGTGTTGTTGCACCGCGAAATTTTGCGAGGAAAAGGGAGAGACCGTACCAGTCGTATGTTAGGGTCACCCTCTTCCCATCCACTCGCTTCTCTTCGGGGACACGACGGGAACCCGACGGGAACCCGACGGAAATCTCTCTCTTTCTCTCTCTCTCTCTCTCTCTCTCTCCCCCCTTCTCTCTCTCTCTCTCTCTCTCTCTCGGTCGGTACGAGATATTCCGCGCGACCGAAACTCACACAACGATGAAGCGTCAGCGAAGCAGCTTCATTTGGATCTTAATCGATAAACTATGAATAGCACTTGGAAAGTTTCGGAGACGTTCTCGAAGAGCTGACTCGATCGGATTTTTGAGAGCTCCATTCGAAATTCAATCAAGGGAACAGCGTCTTATTATCGTTACATTGAGAGCTTCCCGAGAGCACATCCCGTATAACTATAGTCGCGCACACCTCTACTTTTGAAATCCGAACGGTTTCATCTAATTTCCCCAGATGTCGAGTGGGGATCGTTCCCTTCACATCGAACGTACTCGCGAACGCGTTCGTTACGTCGGAGAGGGCTTTAATAACGCGCGGGGATTGAGAAGGAGAGCATGAAACGACAATGCAATCGATTGAATTAAGCAGGAGAGACGTGCAATCGCTTTCTCGTTTAATCAAGGGCGTGATATTCCGGAGAGCGAGGACGAGTGACCTTTATTAATTTTTCAAATCGACACGCCATCTATCTTGCGAAGAAGCTTGACCTTAATCGTCAATCGATGGCTCGCGATTGAAAACTCGATTAGCCGCGGGGAAAGTCCGGGTAACGAACAATAACCGATTTAAGCCGGGATCGATAGGGTCTACACGGTTAATCGCCTTAAAGCACTTTGGCAAGTTACTCACGAAGGAGCCGCGAACCCACAAATGCAAAGTGTTTGAACTTCCGCGAAGCATTCTCCGTCAAATCTCTCCCCTTTGTTGGGTGCGCCCTTCGGTATGTATGTATATACGTACAATGCAGGAAAGAGGACGCTGCTCTAATATTTAAAAAATTCTTTGGGCCCGAGCCGCGTTTCCCGTCGCTTTTATTCGTCTCAACAATCCTTCCTCCCCCCCCTCCCCCCCCTCCCAAATCCAAAAGATATTAAAAGGCATCCTTTACCGTCCGGTATTCAACCGCCTCGGTGTGTTTTCTTATCGCGAAATAAGCGAGAGCAATTTGCCCGCTCGAACGAACGATTTTCTCCCTTCACTCTCAAGACAGAACACGCGCGCGGATAGAGATAAAGCTGGACCGCGAAATCGTCGGAGATCCAGTTTCTCACGGTTTCTCGCCGACCGAGAGAGGCGGCCGCCGCGGCGCCTAGGTCCCTTTCCGAGACAATTTCTCGTCGAAATTCGATTTCTACCGAGGGCTAGCGAGTACGCGTCGGAGGATTACAACGCGGGGCAACAACATCTCTCGTGTCGTGGAGAGGAAAGAGCGTCGCGCGTTGGAGAGAAAGTTCCCCGGTTGGTGATGATCGCGCGCCGCGAAGGTCGATCGTCGCCGACGCACGCGGAGCGGCGGATCGGCCGTCTCCCCTCGTAACGAAATTCCTTCCGTCGCGGGAGGAGACGAGCGAGCGCTCGCGCGCGCTAGATCGATCGGGGACGTGTTTCGCTCGCGGTCCCTTCGAAGGCAATTTGGCCGAGTGTCAGGGGAGAGGAGTAATAAGACGAAATCGCGGCGATAGACAAGCTACTGCCACGACACCCCATAACCGCATTATGCCGCGTGCACGCGCGCGCGCGAAAGCAATAAAAGGAGCGGAATCGTCGAGCGGCAACGGAGGGTAGAGAGCTTGCGCGCGCGCGCGCAGCGGCCGAGAAAAGCGAATATGAGGGATTTGCTCACCGAGTATTTGCCGGGCACGTAAATGGGCTGCGAATGACTGGTGGTGAGCTGAGTGTTGGGCATTCTGGAGGAAGCATTTGTTTCTCGCCGGCGTAGCTCCTCAAGCGGCTCCAGGACGTCTCCGTAATGTGTTCTGAAGAGGTCTGCATACCTCGAAGCGAGTCCCTCCAAGTACCCCCTCTCGCCCTCCTGCAACACGCGACGAGCGAAACGTTAAGGATCGTCGAGAGCAAACGCAATAGCCACCGCCGCGCCGGCGCCCTCGTGTGCGGATTTCCGCCGCGACCGCGACGGAGCGCGCGCGGCTCGCGCTCGTTTGCGCGGCGAGGTATGCCGCCGCGCATTGTGTTGTGTCACAGTTAATTAATTTTACATAATTTCCGCACAACGTAATTAATTGTGTTTTGCATTATTTACGCGATAAAATACGGAAATATTCATTATCAGCCAGTTGGCCGCGCGCTGTGGCGCGCAATTACGCTGCTGTGTGTGTGTGTGTGTGTACGTGTATCGATTATCGCATTGAGATTTGTAGCTGCAAATCCCGAGCATTGGCGCAATCATATTGAGTTAAGATATCAGTGGTGGTGAGTTATCGAGGCGCGCGATCGAGCAACATTCCCGATGCGCGCAAGTTCTCCCTTATTGTCGTCGGCGAATTAACGGGGGACGCGCGACTTTAATCGGCCGCTGCGAGGCCACTTTTATCGTCGACGGTGCGCGGGATACATTTAGACGAATTAATCGGTCATTTATTAATGAGTGTTCGCCAAAGCGCGCGAGATTTCGCGATAATAACGCATGTAATAATGAACGACGAGCATATTATCCGAATAAATACAGTAATCATATTAAATTGAGATATAACTTTCTGAAATAGTTGGATATACACGTTATTACAATCGTAATGCGCTTAAACGTTAAACCGTAATGCGCGCGGGGGCAGTCTCGTATTCCGAGCGCCGGGGAATTTTTCCAGGGCTTTTCCAGCTTAACAATATCACACGACGATATATTAGATCCGTAGATTCTCTTTGCGGATTCTCTCTCTCTCTCTCTCTCTCTCTCTCTCTCTCTCTCTCTCTCTCTCTCTCTCTCTCTCTCTCTCTCTCTCTCTCCCTCTCCCTCTCCCTCTCCCTTTGAGTCTCTCTACGAGTGTCGTATCGCGCAAGTTTCGTGTGCTCGAAACGAAACAAACGGATATTCGTGTTTTGAGGAGGCAGAGAATCAAAATGCAAGACGGAGAATATGTTTCTCGTAGATTTCCATACGTCAGAGTCAGACGACTCTCGTCGTTCATGTCGAAAGTTCAAGACGTCGTAAAGAAAGAGAGAGAGAGAGAGGGGGGTGGAAGGGTTGGGGGAGAAGAGGGGAGAACGCCCCGTAAGTAATTACATTAAATTGCACCGCGCTACGTCTCAGCACGTCACCGAATATCCCCGGCGAGTCGTCCTTTCTTACGTAAACGCGCGTGCTTGGACGCACATGCACAATACGAGCGTCTCTTTCTCTTCTCTCTCTTTCCTCTCTTTCCTTCTTGCCGAACGGAGGTCAGGTCAACGTGCCGACGCGGTGGTGTATGATTCAACAAGGCGGAGCGCGCGAGGGCGGACGTGAGGGGGAAAAGAAAGTCAAACGTCTCGGACGTACGGTCCGCCAAAAGGGCGCGCGGGACACGGGGCGGTGGGGCAAGGGAGGAGACAGCGGAAGAGCAGGAGGAAGACGGAGGTAAGGATCGGCGAATACGACGAAGCTTGGTGTCACATTAATATTTCAGGATTCCACTTCCGCCGACTCTCGATTCGACTGCCGGGCTCGTAGTGGAAGGGCTATGTCCTTCCCTTTTATCGCTATGAGGAGAAGGGGGAAGGGGGGGGGATGCCGGGGAATGGAGGCCGTTTGGAATGGGAGCGCTTTGTCTGGCGCGAGTCGCTTCCTATTTACACTTTAAGCGCCTCCATCCATCCGCATCCGCTTCCGCCACCGTCGCTGCCGCCGCCGCCGCCGCCGCCGCCTCCGCCGCCGCCGCCAATGTTACCGTAGAGACTCCGCTGGATGCAGGAAAACGATATTCCGCGGCTACCGCGGTCGTCTGCCGGATTTAAATCCCATTTGTAAATATTCCCTTCGCGGCTGTGAGTGAATTACGCGGGAATTATGCCCGGCGCGAAGAAGCGGTTCATCTTCCGCGCACGCCCACTCTCCAATTTCGCGAGAGGGGCGCTGACGACGACGACGACGACGACGACGACGGCCCTCGTGTGGTGCGATGCGTTTAACTCTCCTCGGAGATGACGCTGAGAAATAAGGAGGAATATATCCATCTCTTGTGCAGCGCAATCTATATAAAATATCAAATACGCTTTCGAGAAGCGGGACGGACGGCCAGAAGAGCTCTCGATCGATCGACGAGTGAATGTACACGTGTTACGATTTGCGCACTGGCGAATCGCGCCAATCGAGCGCAATTGCACTTGGCGTAATAACGCCGGGCTTGTCTTCGTCGCACGTAATGGAGGGTGTAAAGAGTGGCAGGGAGAGAAAGAGAGAGAGAGAGAGAGAGAGAGAGGGTCGCGTGCAGGAGAGAAAAACAAAACGACGCGTGTTTAAACAGAAAGTACAACGCGCTATTACACGGAATGACTGGTGGGTGACAAAGTGGCAGTCGCGTTCGAGTGAATACATTTTCCCGCTATCTTTCGTCGTAGCGGTTGTCGCTCGGCGCTCCTTTGACGCGCGCTCCGAACGCGCGGGCGATCAACTTTGTGCCTGGTGCGGCCGCCTTTACGCGCGGCTCCGGCAAGGCACTTAGAATCCATTTTCTCCCGGTGCGACCCGGAAGCGGGAGGGACGCGTGGCACGTAATATGCATCGGTACGCCAGATATTCAATGAATCGACGGGAGAATGGAGTCATCAATTGCAGAGCGTCAAACGTCAAGATTTTCATTACGATATAATCTATTCCGACGGCGAGCGAGAGAGCTCGGCGAGGAGGGTTCGCTTAGGGCGAAAGACATTAAGGCGAGCGTCGAAGACGCGCGAAGGATGAAACGAACGGAACGAGTCATCGTTCCGCTATCTCCCTCGCCCCCTTCTTACCTCCTCACCCCGCCCGCTCCCTTCTCGCCCCTTTATCGATAATCCGCGAGTATTAATTAGAATTCCAATCTTCCGATTTAATACGATGTTCCCCGCCGTCCCGTACTTTCCTCCGGTTCTTGCTCCAAGCTTCTTCTTCCCAACCCCCCCCGGCGCGGCGTCCCAACCCCTCCCACGTCTCACGCGGGTTCTCTTGCCCTCCGCCCTCATCATTTCCCTCCGGGGCTTAACGGTCAAACTGAAACTTTCAAATTGAGAGCGCATAAAGCGGACGAATTTTGCACGCGCGGCCGCGACTCTTTGGAACTTTATTGCGTCGTAAATTAAAATTTCATCCATGAGCGGATAATCGAGGAGTGATTAAAGTGTTCATTTTATCAAACCGCGCGGCCTGCCGACAGCCCGCAGAAATGTCCTCACGGCCAACAGCAAGACTCTCTCTCTCTCTCTCTCTCTCTCTCTCTCTCTCTCTCTCTCTGTCTCTCTCTCTCTCTCTCTCGTTTCGATGGCCCATCAGAAAGTTCCGCGGCTGTGTATCCTTTTGCTCGGGGAACGGATAGCCGGAACAGCCGTTCCTCATCGCGAGCAGTTTAACGATCGGCAAACGATTGCGCACACGATACGTACGACAATGAGAGAAGAGCAGCCGAACCGGGCTGCGCATTTTTTCCTCTGCGTGACGTGACGAGCGACGAGTAGTCGATGAAGCGCGCACGTGAACGTCGAGAAAATTCGACGGAAGCGAAATCAAGCGCCTCCGCAGTCAAGCACCGCTCGATTTATTTATCCCGCGAGCCGTGGAGCCGCGCCTCTTAGCCGTACGCTGGCCCCGATCGTACCTTGAAATATGTACGAGAGCGCTCGCAACAATCTCCCGGCGAATTCGCCGCCGAAAGAGGTCCCCGGCAAGATCCAAGAGTCATAAATAGACTACGAAGCGCATAGGCGTACAACGAGGAGACGTCCCTCTTACCGTCTCACGTCCTCTTGTAATGCATTCCATTCTCCCGAGGTCCGAAGAAGAATTTGTTCCCGGCGCGTTACATCATGTAATTAGAGAAACGTGGAATTACCGCACGGGCGCATAATTGCGCCCGTGGGCCGTACTATTTTTAACGAGCAACCGGCTTCAGCGATTAACCGGCTTTTATTTCCAAGCGGACAATAACATTTCTGCCGAACAGTGCAGAAACAGTTGGCGTGCGACTTTTTTGCACGCGCGCACACCGGCGAGTGAGCTAAGTGCCCGTATCGAGGTGAAAGTTAATTTTCTGCGTACTAGCGTTCTCTCTTCCTCTCTCTCTCTCTCTCTCTCTCTCTCTCTTTATCTATCTCACTCACTCATTCCTCGTCCTGAGAACGGTTTCATTCTAACGAGCCGCGACGGTACAACAACGTTGCTCGAGAGGTGACCCGAGTCGACGCCGCACGGACATCCGTCGAACTGACGACCGCCCACCTCGTCTCCTCTTCCTCCTCCTCCTCGACGACGGCAGCGACAGCAGCAGCAACAGCAACAGCAACAGCAATAGCAGCAACAGTAGCAGCAGCAGCAGCAGCAGCAGCAGCAACGGCTCGATGACAAGGCGCGCACCGTAATTATCTTTCGCCCTCGGTCGTGGATTTTCCGCGTAACTATACGCCACACACGGTGTTGTTTGAAACGCTACTTCCTCCGACCCAGAAAATTTCACGGATAATGCACGGAGATACGGCATATGACAAACGACGGCGCTTGTTACTTATTCCCGCGCGCGCTGCGAGCGCTGTCACACACACACACACACACACACACAACAAGTAGCGCACGCGACCGTAAACGGCGCGTCAAAATCATTTGGAAAAGTAATGCCATGCGGCGGATGAAATCGACGACGCTCGGCGAGGTAGAAGAAGTCAACGAGCCGATTTGCAACGGTCGGCAGAATACGCGAGATGTGCGACACGCCGAGAGATTCGTTCCACGAGTGTTGCCTCTGCTTCGGGGTTGATGTGTTACTTCCGAGGTCGACAAGTGCAGTTTCCAGCGGAAGGAACTTTTAATACGCCTGCGAATGTAAGGTGAATATTACGACTTCCCGTCGTAAT